AAAATAGAATGTCCCCAAGCTGATGAAGGTAAATTACACTTCATTAATAATGGTCTAGCGATTAATTGTAATCGTTTAATCAAAGATTCAGGAAGACCATTTTGTGTATGGACATGAGCAACAGGGTGCTCCACATCAATCCCAATCGACATACAATAGTCGTTAAATGATTGGGAAGTAAATTCTCCTGCATTATCAAGTCGGATTCTCTTTATAGAATGATCCGGAAAATGAGCTCTTAATCGTATAATTTGAGCAAGGAGTTTAGCAAATGCTAAATTTCTAGTCGATAAAAGACTAACATGTGACCAACGTGTTGAAGCATCAATCAACACCATAAAATATCGAAATGGTCCACATGGCGGGGCTATCGGCCCACAAATATCTCCTTGAATCCTTTCTAAAAATGCAGGTGATTCAATTGCAATTTTGTTCATAGAGGGCCTGATGATCATTTTGCCAAGAGAACAGGCCTTACAAGGAAAATCCCTTGATACTGGAACCCTTATATTCTTTAATGGGTGTCCAAGTGAAGTCTTAATGATTTTATGCATCATTACATGGCCTGGGTGACCTAAACGGTCATGCCACAACATGAATGTTTTCTGATCATCTAACTTTGCGTTAGAAACCAAATTTATTTCGAATGGACTAATATGAGTGAAATATAGTCCTGAGGAATATGCTGGCATTTTTTCACAAATACATTTAGTGCCAGATTTAGTTGTCGTTAGACAAAGATATTCCTTTTGGTTTTCATTCATGGTTTCTATGTGATAACCATTTTGACGCATATCTTTAAAGCTTAATAAATTTCTCCGCGATTTGCTGGAGTATAAAGCGTCATTTATAAGTAATTTTGTCCCATTAGGGAGCATCACATATGCTTTCCCAGAGCCTTCAATGAGCTTCGCAACACCTGATATTGTATTGACTTTAGCCTCAACTAAAGTCATTTGAGAAAAATATATTTTATTTCTCAAAATGGTGTGCGTTGTGGCACTGTCTATCAGACATAGCTCTTTATCACTTGAGTGATCCATATCTTCAATATATGTAAATAAACATAAGCTTGACCACAAATTATGCATATTATTTAACATAAGAGTACATATATTACACACATTTATTTAAAAACAAGATAAAGAAAAAGGGGAAGAAAGAAATAGTACATAAAACTAGTATTTTACAATATCATGGGTCTAATATTTTATTTTGTAGCATTGTGATTAATGGCAAAAGCATCGTCCATAATAGCATCATCCACATTTTTGCCTTTGTTCAGGTTCATGGAGGCTTGAAATAACTCCACCAGATGTTTAGCCGTGCGACATTTATTAGCCCAGTGTCCCGTCATGCCACATTTATAACAAGTCGTTTTCACCGAGGTTTTTGTAGGGCGATTTGTTTGATGGGCTTTTTGTTTGCCCTTGCCCTTGTAATTTGGTCTTTCGACCCGTTTATATCCTCGGTGGGACTTGTTATTATGACCACTAAAATTCCCACGTTTAAAATGCCTTCGTGTGCCACTGTGTGTTGCGTTTGATTCAGTGACAATGTTATGTCCAGATGGACCATAAATCGAAGGACTAGAACCAGTGGGTCTCATATTATGATTTTTCATCAAAAGGTCATTATTTTGCTCAGCGACCAATAAAACTGATATAAGGTCAGAGTATTTCTTAAAACCCTTTTCTCTGTATTGCTGCTGTAGCAGCATATTAGAAATATGCATTGTAGAAAAGGTTTTCTCCAACATATCAGCATCAGTGACTTTTTGCCCACATAACTTTAGTTTAGATGTTATTTGGAACATAGCAGAATTATAGTCACTGATGGATTTAAAGTACGTCCTGGAATCTTAGATTGATCCAGTCATATTGAGCTTTAGGCAAAAGAACCTTTTGCTGGTGGCCATACCTCTCTTGTAAATTGTCCCATAATTCTTTTGGATCATCAACCAAAAGATATTCAGATTTGAGACTTTCATGGAGATGGTGACGGAGGAAAATAATAGCTTTCGCTTTGTCTTGGGCAGATGACGGCTTATTTGCCTCAATAGTGTCTTCTAGGCTGTTAGCTTTCAAATGTGCTAAAGCATCTACTTTCCATTCCAAATATTTTTGACCAGACAGATCAAGAACGTCGAACTCTCTTTTGCTAATGTTGGCCATGTATACTACAAAAGTTTTTTAAGTTAAATTTAATGAGTGTGAGTGCCTATAATTTATAAGAATTGGTAAAACATCATTATTAGCGAACAAATTTACTGCCTACATAATCATTCTTTATTTAGATTATTACTGTATATTAGTAATAACACAAATAGGATAAGTGTTTGTCCTGATTTATGAAAGTAGCATTAAAACTTATCACTTTAGAAATCTAAACAACAAATATGATGCCGACATGCCGTACATATTGTAGTCATTAAATATATTTGTTGTTTTGCATGTGATTAATTGATAAAATGACAAATAAAAACTGCAGCATGCATGTATAAGTTGCTTTTCCCATGTATCAACCCGTGACTTGGGTTTGATGTATGTGATACGCGTGTCTATTTTAATTTAAATAAAGAGTGTGTAGGCTATTACAGAGTAACCGAGTAAGTGATAAGGAAGGATAAGTGAAATTTCTGCATGCAAGACACGTAACACATTCGCATCATTCAGATGAATTATATACTCCGTAGTTTCTGTAGTTTCTTCTGTTCGGTGTATGCATTACTTAATCTTCAGTTGCTATTAACTATTCTTATTTTATTTCTCACACTATCTCCTTTATTCACACTTATCCCTTTAAAAGAAAATGTCCGTCTCTCCTACTCTTTATGTTAAAAATATTACATATAGAGGATGATTTATTTTTCACAAATTCTTTTCTTCTACCAAGTGATTAATTAATAGCAGTACATATATGAAGCTTAATTGAAGAAAATACTTGTTCTTATTCCATCAATTCTTTTTGCTCTATGCTTCGAAGTATTAATGAAATCGAGGTATGTCATTTTACTATTTATACTCATACTATAAATGTTTTCATATTCTGGGTTTTATTTTGAAAAATTGTCTAATATACTGATTATATTCTGAAATAGTGACATGAAAACATTAAAGGAGGATAATTAATACTGATGTTTATACCTGCAGGAGATGATGAATTCTTGAAGAGCTTTTGAGCAGATTCGTGCTGATAACGTGTTGTGAAATGAAGAAGATGAAAAAATAGATTTAAGAGATAGATATATTATTAATAACTTCTAAATAACTTCTTCTTTTATCTCTGAGATTTCTGATTTTTTGAATTTCTAAGTATATCAAGCCCTATTTATACTAGTTGGGCTTGGTGATGAATCATCAAGGAGTAATTCTACACATCTTGCTGGCATCATTAAAACTTGCCATCTATCTATCTATGATTACAAGGGTGGTAAGAAGCTTAGTGTCCTGATTACAAGGATGATGACAAGGATGAACAATTCACACTTGTCATTTCCTGGGTTTTACAACACTTTTTAGTATTTCACAAAGCTATTAGTACTATTTGTGTCCTTATTCCTTTTGATTTTTACATTGCAAGCATCTTTTGCCAAAAGACACCAAAAGACTCAGTTTTGTATATCACTAATATAGAACAACAAAGATGTCACCTTTGCTATTTGTCTGCCAATAAATCTAATACTAATAATCTCAGTCTCTTTGCATTACAATCTAAAATTAGTTTTTCTTTAAATAATCCAACTAACGACACTAATAATCCAAATTAGTGTATTAACATGCCAACGTTAACGACACTAACATTCCATTAACATGCCAACTAAAATACACTATTAAGAATATTGTATTTGAATAGGTTTTTTCAAAACGTCTAACAGATAAATTTAAGATTTTATTACATGTTATCGACACTATTAATTAATACTCCGTAAGTAGCAAATTACAATTGATATTGTCAATTAATTTCACCTAATATTCTTTTACTTTTAGTATTTAATATTGCACTTATGTTTTCCGATACTCACTTACTATAATAACTTTACGGGAATAATTTTATTCTTTTTTTAAATTTAAAATATTATTTTTTATTTTTGTATTTAATTAAACTCTGAATTGAATACAAAATATATGCACAACCCTTCTTTACCTCATGCGTATGCATGGGTACTGTACTAGTTATATGACAAAATAAATACTCAGGTAAAGAGTAATTAAAATTTAAGTGGACAAGAATCAGAACGAACTAAAAAACTTACGGTGCGTGGTTGAATATTTTAACTTTCCATCTCTGGAAAATTTTAATTTATTGGTACGTTGCAGGATGTTTTCTTTTGGACTGTTTTCAGTCCCACACCAGACCAGATCAGATCAGACCAAACCAAACCAGATCAGACCAGACTTCTGTAGTTATAAAATCCATAGAGACCAGACCTTTACCAGACCAGATCAGATAAGGCCAAACCAGCAAATATCAGTCCAAAAGAAAAACATCGACATGAAGAATTAATATACGACAATTATCACAATTTAATCTTGCAATTAGGAGAAAACTCAACATGCATGTCTTTGACTTTTTTCCAACTAAAGCCCACTTATAATAATAAGATATGGAGTATAAAATAACCGTTTAGGCTATGATAGGATATTCAATGTAGGAATGTATTAATTTCGAAAAAGTCGTACCCAAGTACGATATTATGTACTCCGTATATATGATACATATACTTACCTACAATACAATTTGAGGGCATCATTATTTTTTAAAAACTACTGGCGGTGGATGCCCGAACTTATTTAATTCCTAATTGAAGGTCTAATTTTTTTTCTTCACAATAAGAAATCAAAGTTAAACGTCATTTTTATTGTATTTTAAACTATCAAATAAACTTTGCTGTATAAGTATGGGCAGGTATTGTATTTTGAACAAATAGAGTAGTTTCTATAAAAGTATAAATACAGCTAAATTGTAAGCCACAATTTAATGAAAGACCAAACCTACTCTGGTATTTGATCAAGGCAAGACCTGATCGACCAGCCCGGACCTCCAGCCTCGCCCGCTGCCGCAGCTTCTTCTGGTAATTGTTCATCCTTTCATCTACTTCCTGGCATTCTACATCCCATGAAAAAGTTTTCATTTGTCTTTTTTAAATTAAGATATATGTCTCAAAATTCAAAAACTTCTTCTGGTAATTGTTCATCCTTTCATCTGCTTTCAGTTTATTAATAAGTGGTGTTTCGTGATATTGATATGAAAGTTTTGAAAACTACTATCGTATTATGCATTTTCACTTATATTAAATAAGCATGTAAGGTGAAACTTTTTGGGGAGGAGGGAGTAATATAAAACTTGAGCCAATTCATAAATCATAGAGCATGCCACATTATTAATAAGAAATAGATAAATAATGTTTGGTGTACACCCTACTAGGCTACACCCTATTTATTTATCCTTTAAAAAGATAAAAACAAATATAAATATACATACACCTTGATAAAATTTGTCTGTGTCAACTTGGTTTGCTTCTAAATCACATTGATTGATTTAATTTTGAGATATTACCCGAAATAGGACTAAAAAGGTTTGAAAATTCCATAATAGGACTGCCATGTTTTTATTCCTAAAATAGGACTAATTACTGTCATGTTTTGGCAGTACCAGACTTCAAACATGACAGTATTTTCCAAACTTGTCAGTAATTACTCCTATTTTGGGAATAAAAAACTTGGCAGTACTACTTTGGAATTTTAAAACTCTTTTAGTCCTATTTTGGGAACTTTCCCTTTAATTTTTTATAGAGGGGTTTCACGGAACTAATATAAGTATACACATAGAAAAATGTACGAGTGCAAATACTTTTTTATCGATACAAAAAAATAATATCAATTTTAAGTTCTCTGTGTACACAAACAAAAATGTTACACACAAACAACTAATGTCTATGTATATATATACAGAAAATAGTTTGCGTGTAAATAACATTGATGTACTCTTCTTACAGAAATGTCAGAATGATAGCACGAAAACCAATGTCTGTGTATACACACATTAGTACGTTGTCTATACATACAAAAAGTGTTTGTACAATTGTACCCATACTTTTTTTGTCTGTGTACATCAACATTGGTTTCCGTGCAACAACTCTCTACAAAAAATTACATCAATCAATGTGATTAGAATCAAATCAAATTTTATTCACAGACAAATTTAACGAAGTGTTTGCATTTGTACTTTTTTTTGTCTGTGTGAAGGATAAATAAATAGGGTGTACACCAAGCATTATTGATGATAGATTGGACCATGCATTTTGATTTCTAGAGCCAGTTTGGGGACCCTATTTTTTGACTTATAAATTTTATCAAATGTCATTCAACTTCTTCATTGAACACGTATATTTTGATTTCACGCTCTAAATTGTGTAATAAATAAGCTAGATAATATTGAAATTACATGTATGACTGGATTGACTGAAATTATTATAGAGAATCATTCCACTACTTTTTCATATAATTTTTTCTTTATTTTATCTATAAAATATATTTTAAATAATACTTCATATAATTTTTTATAATTTAGCAAAATTAGTCAAGCAAGTAACTTAAAAGTTGTTCTCTTCACCTGATCTGAGTATTTCTGATCTGAATTTTTTAAGTTCTGATCTGATCTGAATCTTTTTGATCTGATCTGAATCCTTTTGATCCGGTCTTATCTGATATGAATCTTTCTGATTTGATCTGATTTGAAAATTTCTATAATTATAATTATTATATTTATATTGTAATTATAAATATAATCATAATTAAAATTATAATAATTATACCTATTATACACTTATTATAATCGTAACTATATTTTTAATTATAATGATTTCTATAATTATAATTATAATAATTATATAATTATAGTTATTCTGTATAATAATAAGAATAACAATAAAAATAATAGTAATAATAATAAAATTTAATAATAATATTTATTATAAATTATTATTATTAGGAAAAAGGGTCAAATACACCCTTCTACTTCATCAAATAAATCACTTCAGCCCCTTTACTATAAAAAGTATCAGATAAATACTTCTACTACTACAAAACCATCAATTTGGTCCAGTGACCGGATCACAACTCCTCATAGCAAGTCGTTGGTTGGTCTGACATGTTTTCCCATATCTTATTTACTTTTTTCCTTTTTTCTTTTCTTTTATGTCATATATACACAGGTCATACTACGTATGTCGTACTAGTATATACGAAGTACTAAATACGATAGTAGTAAATACTACGGAGTTCGTATACCTCCTAACGAGTTTCTCTCTTGCTTTCTTTTGCCTTTATTTTCATTCTCGACTTTTTTTTGTCCCCCACTAGAATAGAATGTACACCCCCCTCCCCCTGTTTAGTTTACTTCTCTTATTTAAATTTAAGAAAATTGAGAAAATGATCTAAAATTCATTTTCTATTTTTATGACTTTTCCTTAATATATACTTTTTCGCTCCCTTATAACTTTGTCATCTTTCCTTTTGTGGATGGGTCAAAAAACTTTGTCACTTTCCTTTTTAATCAATAAATTTGTGATTCATGTTATTTCTCTTTCATTTGCACATTTCTCTCTCATTTGCACATTTCTCAATCATACAGTTTTTACATTATTATTTTACGTGTCGATCAAACATGACAAAGTATTGAGGGACGGCGGGAGTATTACATTTGATTTTATATGAGTGAAACGATACACTTTTCACAATTGCCGATACACAATGACCTTTAATATTTTTTGAAATTAAAAATCAGATTTTAAAAATTTACAATGAGACAAATTTAACACTTTTTTAAAAATAAACTAGATTTTCACCTGTGCGATGCACGGGACATATATTAAGTAATAATAGTTATATGACATTATTTGTAAATATTAGCTTTTAATGTCTAAATGAATGGAAAGAGTATACATGTCATACACATAAATAATTATAATTAAGGAAAATATATTTAAGACTCGTAAATTGTAACTGGTACGAATAATGTTTTGAGAGTAAGGAAAAAAATCAATATTACAATAAAAATCTCGTATCCACACATTTTGAAAAACTTCCTTATAAACAACATTGGGTAGTATTGTCAATTTGTTCCCCCATTTTCATCAATATCTTTTTAATCCTTCAATTGTCTCAGACTTTATAAATGTCATCCCATTCGTTCATATTTGAGTAAATGTGATCTTGTCAATAAAAGTGGATTTTTCGATCGTTATGTTATCTGTGATGTGACATAATTTTACTAAAACTTGTCGGTGCCCTTTTTTAAAGACGTGTAAAAATTAAACTAGTGCTGTCATTGGTATTGTCTAAAACATTTTTATCTGTGTCAAACATTTATTGTTTTTAAACTTAGATTTTCCAACTGGAATTTTTTATAAGATGCCTACAACTAAGAGACTACTCCCTCTGGTTCTTAATTAAGTTTCTGGTTTGACTTCACACATAATAAAGAAAATAAATTTGATTTTACTGTGGAATGCACTATTTGAACACTGTTTGACATTATATTGTTTGGCATTGTTTTGACACTGTTCTGGTGTAAATCATTTGAAAAACAAGGAAAGGTTTGAAGTAGAACCTAATTACGGGACCATCCCAAAAAAGAAAGTAGGAACTTAATTACGGGACGGAGGGAGTATATTTCAATTAGGAGAACATGTATACAAAAAGTGTATAATTTATTCATATATTCCTAAAAAGGAAACAAAGAAGTTTTTTTTTTTACCATAAGGAAACAAAGAAGTTAGAAAAACGGAAAAATAATTTTTAGAGCTTCTTCTAAAATATGATCCGTTTCTTTGATTTAAAGAGGAAGAAGAAGAGTATAAAAGAAAAGATAAAAGAAAGAAGAAAAAGAAAAGAAAAAACAAAACGAAAGAAATAATGTTTCTTGGTGGAAGGTTAGGAGCTACACCAAGAATACAAAATACTGTACGTAGTGCAATGTACGTAGAGGATAGAAAGAGAACAGAGAATGAAAAGGGTAAATACGAAACGACAAAGTATGTCAGATACTCAGATACTCTAATCAGCCTTTGACCTGCTGGGGAAGGTTCTCATCCGGTAAGTGGGTTCACATGATCGTTTTGAAAGAGTAGATGTATCTATGTGATGGTTTTTATAGTTGATGGGTCAAAGTGATCCTTTTGATATAGTAGGAGGGTGGTGTATTTGACCCTTTTTCCTTATTATTATTATAAAAGTGATAAATCATGTTTTAACTTTTCTGATTCGATTTGAATGTTTCTGACCTGATCTGAGTGTTTCTAATCTGATCTGCATGTTTTTTATTTGGTCTGATCTGAATGCTTCTAATCTGATTTAAATCTTTCTGATATGATCTGATAGGAATTTTTCTGATCTGATCTAAATATTAATAAGCAATAAATAATTAGAATAAGAGGAACAGATCAGTTTCTTGAGCAAGAACTTCAAAACTTTCAACAAAATTAGTCGAGAATCTTAAAGTAAAGACTAAAGAGGTGTTTACTTTGATGCTAAAGTTACAATTAGGTTAGTAAGATACGCGAAGTAAACATGCAAGCTGCTTAATAAGTTGCTTACTAACCCAGAGAGGTGCTTAAAGTATCGTTTACTAAGCATATCACACATCCATGTATTAATTAAACGGCACTTTAATCTTTTTCAGTTTCTGAATTTACCCTTACCTTTACCCTATTGCTACCCCTCTACGTGCTACGCCCCTACCCTACTTTACCCCGACCCCACCCCTATCCATATACACCCTTACCCCTACCCTACATACCTACCCCAGACTACCCCACCACCACTCGTACCCCTTTACCCTACCCTGACCCTACCTTTTTACCCCCTACAACCTGCCCTTACCTCGACCCCACTCACACCCTAACCCCCACTTACCACCCTACCTCACCCCTACCCCACCCTGACCTTATCCCTTGCCACATTCCCATACCTCGACCCCGACCCTACCCCTTTACCCCCTACCACCTGCCCCTACCTTGACCCACTCCTACCCCTACCTCAACTAGAGATGGCAATTTCGGCCGACCCGTTGGATACCCGCACCGAACCGATTTTGTCAAACTGGGGAAAACCGGTTTGACTGGGGAATGGGTACGGGGCGGGGAATACCCGAATTTTTAAATGGTTAATGATGCGGTTATGGTTCTATACTAATCCGCCCCGTTATCCGCCCCGAAACCGCCCCATTCACTAATGGAGCGGGTACCCGCATCGTTACCCGATCCGTAACATTATTAATGAAGTATTACTTTTTATATATAAGAATAATAAGTATATATGCTAAATTGTGTATACTAAATAGTATATATCATATAAATAATGCTAAAAAGTATAGTACTTTTTAGGCCTAAAACTAAATATATGCCTAAACATGTTTTTGGAATTTGAATTCTAGGATGATTACTACTTTTTTATTATGTTACAAGAGATATTAGGTGCATGTCATACTAATGAATTTAGGCCAGTCTGCTTGATTGCTTAAACATTTACTTTTGTATATTTTAGGGTTCTTTGAATATATAAATAACAAGTAGGATTAGAAATTGGTTATTTGTTTTCCAAAAAAAATGGTTATTTGGTATCATTTGGGGAAATGGTTACCCGTGGATAAACCGATTCCCCGTTGGGGCGGTTACGGTTCAAATAAAAATTACCCGAACGGGTAATGAGGCAGTTTTGGGGCAAACATTTATCCAACGGGGCGTTTTCGGTTTTATGTGTACCCGTCCCCGATCCGACCCGTTGCCATCGCTAACCTCAACCCTACCCCGTCCCCCTACTGTACCACCCAACCCTTACCACTCTACCCCGACCATACCCCTTACCCCATCCCCACCCATAAGCCCTTACCATACCCCGAACCTACCCCTTTACCCCATACCACCTTCCCTGACCCCTCTCCTATGAGTAGGGTCGGGTACGGGTATGAGGGTTGTAGGGGAGTAAGGGTAGAAGGTAAGATCGTGGTAAGGGTAGGGGTAGGGGTCAAGGGAATGAAATTGGGGGGGTAGGGGTGTGTATGGGCAAGCATAGGAGGTGACCCCCACATATTATATTATATACTTGTATTCATGGATGTTTATGTGTCTATACATGTATAGAGTTATTTTGGACTTACATGAACTTACAACATTGCTTACTTTATACGTTGCTTATTAAAGCGAGTTTAAATAAGCACCGTTTGATCACACGTGAAGTAAACATGTCCTAAGTTCTCGCTAACAATTCAAATAAATGGCTTATGTAGTCATATGGGATCAGTTTTTTCTTTATTGGATCGGAAGTCATCGAACAGGTGAAATTCTTGTTACTTTTACTAAAAGTTACTCCGTATTTATTTGTAGTGAATTCATTAATTGCTATATGTTAAAATGTGGAAACTAAAGCAAATACACCTAATTGAGTTTCTGGTATTCATTTGTTACCATGTAGAGAAATGAATATGAAAATATGGGATGTGTTTCTAGCAGGAGGAGATCCACATGCATTCTCAGCACCAGAAGAAAGGTGGGATACTAACTTCCTGCCATTTTGAACCTGGAAAATCCACATGCCAGTGTACTCCAGGTTTCCTAACCCCTTCATCTTCATCTCTCAATACTCAAGGTGGTTCTTACTAAAACACATCCCACCTTTGCAAGAAGTGGAATATAATGGGGTATCCCCAATAGACTATGAATTTCACCGCAATTCAAAGCCCGTTTGATAATACCAAAGTCGGTTGCATCCATCGATTCTGCTAAAATTTATGAAATTCTGGCTAAAAAGATTGGATTGACCGATTCTACTGATTTATGTAAAATTATATTTAAAATACATTTTATTTATAAAATAAATAAAAGATTATATGAAAAGTAGCTAAAATGACCATCCACAGTAACTTCAGCCAATGCCGTCAGAAATATAACTCCAACTTTACATTTTCTTATTATTACATAATTCAGCGCGAGAAATCAAAATTACATTTTCTTGATAAGCTGAAAAACAAACTTATCAAATAATGAAAGTCAATTTGAAATTTCATAAGAGTTTAAAAACTCGGATATTTGACTGTAATCCTGATTGAATTTTTATCTGAAATTTTGTATGGGTAAACTAGACTTAATGAAGAAGGTTCTCACAAAAGTTCATCAAAAAATTCCACCAGGAACCTCCCCAAATGACGACATTCGGACAGAACCTCCTATATAAGGGGTGATTTGTACTTTTTTTGTTAATTCGAGGGTTTATTTGCCCCTTTTACCTTATGTTTTTGACAAACTAATTTTAGCATACTCTAGTAGAATTGAAACACTTAAAAAAATTACACTAAATTCAATTTAATGGAATTTATTTTCTATTGTAAAAATAGGCCCTTTTAGAAAATACTCCATCCGTCCCGCTATGATTGTCTCGTTTTACCTTTTCGGTCCGTCTCACTAAGATTGTCCCACACCTTATTTGGTAAAATTTGTGTGGTTCTAAATCATTTTTACTTTATTCTTACTTTATCAATTCAATATCAACCACATAAATCTAGTTTTATTAATAACTGTGTCACTTTCTCGTGTCCCAAACTTAGGGGACTATAAATTTTGAAGTACTAATCGTTTTTTTTGTGTGGAGATTATAGTTTTCTATTTTTTCTCTTATCTTTAGTCCCAGGACCACAAGGCGACTATCCACCATCTGTAGATGAAGTTCAAGTTTTGAAGGTATATTTGTAGTACTTTACCGTTCAACTTGTCAAATAATGAAAGTCATATTGATTGCTATAGATGCTTCAAACAATTTAAGGGCTTAACTTGTATGTTACTCCGTACTATTTTCGTCCTCTAAAATTATGTTATTCATATTGATCGAATTGGTAAAAAATGTGAATAAAATAAAATGAATAAGAACGATATATATAATACGGAGTATCAAATATGATTTGATACAAACTTAATAAGATGAACATAAAAGGAAAAATGAGACATTGATAGTCAGAACGAGAAAGTATCATTTTGAACATTTGAAGTTTATATTTATGAGATTATTTCAAACAGCTTTACACATTTATTTGGCTAGTAATTCATATTGCAGAGGAAGTCTGAAGAGATTAAACCATATTTAAACGGGAGATGTATATATCTTGTTGGTGAGCTCCATTACTAGTTTGGTATACATAGGAAAATGTACTTTTCATTCAATGTTTGGTATTGCAGTTTTTTCTAAGAAAATAGGAAAGGGAATGAATTTGGTTAAAAACATGCTTTTTCCCATATGTTACACAATTGAAAAAATGACAAACAAAAATATGATTTTTCATACACAATGTCTATCAATATTATTTGAATCACTCATTTTCTATTCACACTGCTCTAAATATGTCATAGTAGTCATTGTGACCATGCAGTCAACTTTTTTGCTTATGAATTCTATTTTAGTAGTACTGTAGAAAATTATTTCAACTGTTTTTTTAAATAATTTATGAAGTTTATGTAAGACGTATTTTGAAAAATGATTTTGAACAAACATTTAGAATTTATTTATTGTGTTTGAAGCAAATTTTTAAATTTGTGCGATGCTTTCTTTCAATTCTTCCCAAATATATATTCTCCCCATTTTCTTCTAAATTTCATTTCCTTAGCACTTCCTTAGTTCCATTTAAATGGACCCTTAATGTCTGAATTCATCCAAATGTTTGATATACCCATAAAAAAATATCAGGAATGATGGGTTCTGGTAAAACAACGGTTGGCAGGATCTTGGTTGAGACACTTGGCTATTCGTTTCTTGACAGGTTAGGTTAATCTTTAGAATCTTCAATCTAATTTATGCCATATTAATGGTGAGCTATATTAATTAAGTAACTAATTAATGATAATACAATTACAAATACTTCATTGCTTAAACAACTTCCAACCAATCTTATAATGTTATCTATTTAATATGAATCTTTTACTTTGAATATGCCAGTGATACACTCATAGAGCAGGCTCTTGGCGCTTCAAGTATTTCTGAAATATTTAAGAAGCATGGTGAAGGCTTCTTTAGAGACAATGAGGTATGTAATTCTTAACACACTTCCTCCTTTTATATTAGGCTACCCCATCTTTTTTGTTTTTGAAGAGAATTTTATAAATGAAAGAGCAAAAGAGAGTAAAAGCAATTTGATGATTGGGAAAAAGAAAAGTAAGCAAAAGGAGAAAGAAAAACAAAGAGAATTCAGAAGTAAACAAAAACATATATTTATCATTACTAGTGGATGATTTTGCTCCCAAAAATGACAAAGTGTAGTTTATAGTTGATTCACTGAGATAAGGCTAACCCTTTTAATATATGCTGACAAAAAGTTGTTTCTCATTTTAAATTGGTTCTGTATGTGCCACCATTCTCATCTTATTATTCTTTTTATTTTAGACAGAGGTCTTGCGCAAGCTTTCGTTGATGCGCCACATTGTTGTTTCCACGGGAGGTGGTGCCGTTGTCCGTCCTATCAACTGGTATAGAAATTCAAGTTTCACTTCCAATCTTGATTTTTTTGGCATTTTCATTGAAACGTGTAAATGCTAGATATTTAGCTAATTAGCTAGGGATATTATCTAAACTTTACTTAGGAAGTATATGCACAAGGGAATTAGTGTCTGGTTAGATGTACCTGTGAATGTTTTGGCAATGAGAATCTCAGCAGTAGGAACTCATTCCCGCCCCCTTTTACCTAATGAATCCGAAGACAATGATCCCAAGGTTTGCAACCTTCAATTTGGATTTTTGCAATGGTTTTAAATTTCTTAAGTTTCAATATTGATTACAAATCTTGAAAGAAAAATAATATTAACAAACTTCCTTCTTTTTGTCTCTCATATAGACTCTGAAATGTTTGTTGACACTTCTTGATGAGAGGAGGGAAGCATATTCAAATGCCAAAGCTAGGGTTTGCATAGAAAGTATGAACCCATTATGTTTCAGTTTTTTTCCATTCAATTGTTGGCCTTCTTAATCTTTTAGTTTCAATCATAGTTTTGTATAAACTGCATTTCCTATAAAAGGATAATTGTGCCAACTATCAGATATTGCTCTAAGTAGGGGGTGCATTGATGTTAGCAATATCACTCCTACACAAATAGCCATTCAGGTAATCTACATTCTGTCATACATACTATGTCTCAATTTGCAATTTTTTTCATTTATTGTCATACTTCTAAAAGTCGTTTAGAAATCTTAATTTGTCCTTCCACGATGAAACTAATAAGACTTGTGTTATTCATAAGACTTTTGTTATTCCTCCTATTAAGTTGTCCTTTTACGATGAAACTAAAATATTAATTCTTTTTCAATGAATTATCGAATTATGGGTAATAAGGTTTGGTATGCTAACTTAGTCCCACTCATGGTCAGGCACTTGAACAAATCAAAAACCTCTTGAAGAAACAAAGTGTTGAAGTACATCGATCTTCCGAATTGTGTATGTGTTGTAGTAGAAGATGCTCTTTGACTCTATGAAGTTACTTCAGGAGTCCAATTAGTTCATAGCTTCTGTGTGTATTTTCTAATTTCTACTACTTTTTATGTATAGTAATCTTTTCCACCCTAAAGATGACATGGTATGTTCCTCAATTAATTGCTCTACATCATTGTGACATAGTTCTCAATATAGTTATGACATTCTTTAATAAAATTTCTGGTTTTATTCAAAAAAACAGTGTTACAGGATGTCTCTAAAGTTTTGAATGATAATAGATCTATGGTTGAAATGATTCATTTGGTACATGGTAAAATACTATCCTATGTCTAGAGTCTCAGTGTCAAACCTAGTTTGATAGTTGTAGCAAGTCAGTAAACCCATACTGTATGCACTGATTCACATAATTTATGATGGAGTTAGTGTCACTCAAATAGATCATAAGACACTTGTATCAAACCATAGTGTGTGTAGTAAGTGCAGTATTGCCATATATTAAGGTTTTCGGGTCTTTCAACTGTAAACTATTCTGAGATATTACAACACAAGTAGAGAAAGTTGAAGAGTAATTTCATGCAACAAGTTCTGTCATTTTTTGGTCTTGCTTACCACCCTCTCCCTCCACACTTTCATGGACATTCTTGTACGTATATCTCTTGGCAAAAAATAGATACAAGCACACATCCAATGTAGTCATTACCGTGATTAGCCAATAGAATTTGTCTAATCGGCTATGGTTCATATCCCTTCCAAACCAACTACCACCACCCTTCTTCGTCACACGATCAACGACTGATATCAAAAAGCTGCTCAAGAAGCTCCCAACTCCAAGCACACTAAGGTAAAATGCTAGCCCCATACTCCTCATAGAATCAGGAACCTGGTGGTAGAAAAACTCTTGTAAACCGACAAGGCTAAAACCGTCACCTATAGAAAGAATCATGTACTGAGGTGTTAACCAGAAGACACTCATTGAGGAAGATGTTCGAAGACTTCTTATCCTTCTAGACTCAACCAAAGAGGCTATCACCATGCCCACAATGTTAAGAACCAAACCAATCCCTATCCTTTGGAGAATAGTTATCCCCCTTTCATTCCCCGTTTTCTTTCTTAGTATGGGTACGAAGACCTTCTCGTACGCGATCACTGATAACAACAAACCTAGAGCAGATAAGGCGTAAATGCTTGCTGGGGGGATCTCAAAGTGACCTATGTGTCGGTTCATTGCGGTGCTTTGCTTGACGAAGAAGGTTGAGCCAAAAGACATGCATACTCCCAACATTAGGGAAGATAACCAGATGGGAATCATGTTGAGTACGAGTTTGGTTTCTTCAACCTGTGTGACTGTTGCCAGTCTCCATGGATTCTTTTTTCTAGCTTCTACATCTTGAGGATCGTTACAGGCTTCTACTATTGCAGCTTTATCAAGAAACCTGTAATGTTAATAGTAATTGTTTATTCTAAGTAGGGTGGACTCATCATAAAACCCAAAGGGAGAGGAATAAGTAAGAACATCAATAAAGTGATTGAAAAATAGGTTGATTATATCCCTTATTTTTTTCTCAACTATATACTTGGTCTCTATTGAGATTGCAAGTTATGAAGAGGTTTGACGTAGATGGCTTTGCAAATCTTGACATTTCCGTGATTTTATAAAAATTGAAAGACTAACATAATAATTTACAATCTACATTTAATCTTTTCATTTGTTTTTAGAAGATTCAACTGATCTAGATACAGACTAAGCCCTCACCCCCTTCGAAATCCTTTTTTATACTAAGAGTCCATTTGCTAGCTAAATTGTCCATTTGTGTTGAAATGAATGTTAACACTTACTATAAGTTTTTATTTTCATAAAATTCACCCTAATAATCCTTACTGAAGGGGTCCTCAACCGATGAGTAATTATTATAAAAAAAAATGAGATCGACTCTCTAACTTCATCTTAACTAGACTTTAATGTTTAAAACTATAGCATGAAAGTTTTATGTGTTTTTTGATCATGAAAGTTATATGTTGTTGTGTATAGCTTGTTGGTGTTATTTAAATTTGTTAAACTTATAATGACACTCAATCAAGAATAACTCAAATGGTGTACCTGGCTTGGGTATGGTATGTCTTAACATGCCCCGTCAAATGGTACTTCATTAGAGAAAGCAAACTTTCAAGCTGTTGAAGTTTTAGGATTGAATTACTCATTAGAGCTTAATTGACTCTAATAGTCTGATATATTTGTAGGCTTAGAGTTTTATCAAAGTATGAGGGCATGACACAATACAGACTCTGTAGTGAAGGGGTCTATCCAGTTCTTATATGTTATTGGGTTGGCTAGACTTATTTAAACTTAATCTATGGAACTATCATTCAAGATATATTTAAGGTAGTCATGATTTTGAAGGTTTATTGTTTTCTTTACTTACCTGAGGCTATTTGTGTGTGAGAGCAGCCTGACTTTGGGATTCTTTGATTTCTCAACTTCATACAGCAGTTCAGGGGTTAAAGGATGAACCAAATTCCTCTTTGCAATAGCTGCAACTATGACCTGAAACAAAGGTATTAAAGGACTGCCAACTGAAACTCTATATCTGAAAAATGGCCTTCCCAAGTAAAACACCAGTGTTGATAACCCCATAGTGGCAGTAAGAATCACAGCAGCAGCTCCCCAACTAACATAGTCCTCAACATAAGATATCACTGTCACTCCAAGCAACAACCCACAACAAAGTGACACATTCCACCAGTTAAAAAATGACATCTTTTGTTTCCTTTCTTTCGGGTGATCATCATCGAACTGGTCGGCTCCAAAGCTTTCTAGGCATGGTTTGAACCCTCCGGTCGCTAGAGATATTAGATAGATTGCAAGGTAGAACACAACCTGGTGAACTCTTCTTGGTGGCACGCCGCCTCCGCAGTGTGGCACTTCACATGCCTTGAGGTTGGGGATGAATTGTGACATTGTGAGAAGACACAGTCCCTGAAATATTTTAACACATATTGGTTAGAAGGAAGTGTTCCATCCTAAAAGGTCAAGTTGATAGGAGGAGTAATTCAGATCTGAATATATATAGCACTTAATTCCTTCTTAAGTATCTAGTGTGGGAATTCAACACCCCTTCTCACGACCAGACATTCCTGTTAAAGTATTTGTTCCACGCTGGAAAGCTATAAAACAATAAAAATACTATATAAAGGCTTTGGACTACTCCTCGTATCAGGTTGACCTTTTAGGATGGAATCCCGAGTCTGGTTAAAGCCTAAGGGTCTTTTAGCATGCTTGTTTAGCACTCATGATTAAGGGTAGCTTGTTAAAGGTCTGCTTGACTCATTTATACACCCCAAACCAGGCTGAGGGGCGTGTTAAAGTATTTTTCCCACACCGGAAAGTTATACAATAATAAAAAAAACTATATAAAGGCTTTGAGCTACTCCTCCTATCAAATTGACCTTTTTATAATCGTGTCAATCTTTGTTCATATTATGATCTAGTCTGTTGTGTTTCGCTCTTACTGATTTAATGGTAAGGATTGTGGGAGAGGGCACCTACCATAAGGTAGAAGATAGAAGAAAATACAATCATGGAGAAGCGACCGGTATAGGAATCAGCAAGGAAACCTCCCACCAATGGCATTATGGTAGTGACACCCGTCCAATAATTTGAATTCTTAGCAGCTGTTTTCAGGTCATTGTGCATTACTTTGGTTAGGTAAGTTATCAGGTTCGTTGCTATGCCAAAGAAGCTAAGTCGTTCTGCAAACTCGATTACTTCATACAAGCATCCATCCGAAAGAGCATGAAAAAAGGAAAGAGATCAATTAATAAATTGTGATACATGAAATAGTGAAAAGAAAGAATTGACAAAATATGTGCTTGTTTGGTTAGAGGATTGTGGGCAATTGACATTTGTCAATTTATCTCCATTTATTAGTTTTATACATGAAATTAAAAACTAAGAAAAATAATAAAATACTCCAAACTTTGATGGGGTGTGAAGTAAACACCCCAAACATGCGTATGTAATTTTATAACCAAAACTTTATATAAAAAGTTATTTTCGCACCATTGTCATGTATTATTTCTCTCAAAAATGTAAATTTATGGGGTTAATTGTATAATTTAAAATAGCAAATTAAAAGTGTTGCAATTATATATATTGGGGGTAACATTATTTATTTTGTAATGGAAGTTTACGATGTTAATCGTGTCTTCATGAATCCTAAAATATTTTCAATTATGCAATTAACATCATAAATTTACATTTTGAAAGAAATAATACTTGATATAGTGCCGAAACAACTTTTTCTATAATGTTTGAGTTATTTAAAATACATATGCAAGTTTGGGGTGTTCATCTCACCCCTTCAAAGTTTGGGCCACTTTAATTATTTTTCCCTATTAAGATCTAATTAGTTAAGTGATACAAAGTACTTGTTATAGCCCAAAACATTCTTCCAAGTATTACATGACATGAGTTTTTTTAAAAGTGAAATTATATAATTATGTTTGGTATATTTTTTTTCACTTTATTGTAAACAGTGGAAATGAAAAATAGTTTAAAACATAAGCATCAACCCTCCCAATAATGATCCTCCATTTGGGTAAGTGTTACACTCATTATCTGTTAGCATGTGATAATAGTCTAAATTAAACTCTCTCAGTTGTTGGTATCATCCTTTTTTTTTATCTTCCACATTGACCCACCAAACAAGCTTTTAAGCATTGAAAACTATACCAAAAAAGTAATGTGTATTCAAAAAATACTCTTTAGAAACTTATTTGCCCAAAAAAGATGGTTCAAAGACTTCAAACGCGTCCAAAATCATACAGCTCAACATGCACTTTTCCCTTCAATAATGATAGTCGATCAAAAAACCGTAACCAATTGTGAGAGTAAATCATTTACCTAGTACTCCCTCCGTGACTCCGTCCCTGAATTAACTTTTATTTTGCTTTTCGAGAGTCAACTTAAATCACTCTTAAACTTTTACTTTATATATCAAAATTTTATGAAAACTGAATTTCTTTTTCAAGCTTTGTAGCGATTTTAAAGTAGTTTCTGAATATGTAAATTTTATTTACTAAAAATAATCTGAGTTTTTACAGAAATGATTTAACTTTATCGTTGGTCAAAATTGGTAACCCGCAATGGGAAGAAATTCAGGGACAGAGTAAATTCAGGGATGATTTAACTTCACAGGGAGTACCTGATAACTAGCACTCTCATCGGGGACCATCCGCCTACCCAATAACACATCCCACCAGTTGAGTTACCTATTTTACCTAGGGGTGGGCATAAAAAACCGTAACCGTTTAACCGTACAAAAAGACCGGAAAACCGGTGTCCTTTTCGGTTAACCGTACCGAAAATTTTAAAACTTGCGGTACGGTTAATTGGCCGGAAGGAAAAATGGTTCGCGGTACGGTTACGATTTTGAAATTATGTTCCGCCGGTTAACCGATAACCGTAACCTCAAATATTACTTCGTATGATAGTATATGATTTCCGTATTATTGGCTAGCTCTTGCTAAGTGATGATGATGAATGGTGTGGTTTGGAGACAAATGCACAGTAAATACCGGTAAGGCGGTAAAGGTTTTGAGACAGGAAAGTATGCACTTCATATCCGGTTCGGAATTCTGCATCTATAATTCACGTCCGTACAATCGTACATAATGGAATACATACAAAGCTACTCACAGTTATATAGCTCAACTAGATGGAAAAAATATTTCTACACTAATGCAAAGCGACACACATGCATGTACATATCTTTAGTAATATACGTTTATACGGTATAATAATACTCCATATAAGTATTGGAACATATAATCTGCAAAAGTAGCACGGAGTACTACGTAGTACAAGGAAAGATATACGGAATAACTAAAGTTTGGAAATCAGAGGATTTATTGGAAAAATTATTGCTATGGAAGTTTCTTATTTAATCTTGGACTGCTAGTACGTAGTATTTTTAAGAATTTGTTATTTTCTTTTTCATGATTTTGATGGTTAAACGATTAGTGTGGTTAACCGATTAGTGGTTAACCGAAATTTCGGTTAACCAAGTATCGGTTAACCAATGTTATGGTACGGATATTGGTACCAACAATATATTAACCAACATTGCGGTTAACCGGAAATTGGTTAACCGAAATCCGGTTAACCAACCATGCCCACCCCTATTTTTACCCGTATGGGTTTAATTGCATAAATTAGTCCTATTGAGCCTAATTGGTAATTTTAGGGACCACGTTGGACATGATGTTTGTGGTACTCATATACTTCGTAAATTGGCTAGAAAAATTAGTATACAATTTGTACACAAGCAATATACTCCCTCCGTCCCATTTATATTGTCCCGTTTTACTTTTTCGGGAAGTCCCACTTAAATTGTCTCATACCATATTTGGCAAAGTTTGTGTGGCTCTAAATCATTCTTACTTTATTCTTACTTTATCAATTAATAACAACCACACAAACCCACTTTTCTTAATAATCGTACCACTCTCTTCCGTCTCAATATAAATGGGACGGAGGTAGTAGTTGTTTATATACACATGCAATTCTTCTGGCTCTCATACTGTGTATTTCTTTTTTGGAGGTCTAAATTCAATATTTTTATTTTTATTTTAGTAAACCATTAATACTCACAATTTAATGATCAAATATTAAAAATAATGCATTTATAGCATTAAAGTTATCATCAATGACCTCATTATATTATATTAGTACTAAATATATCAATCAAATTATTTTCAAATATATATTTAAATGACATTATTTAATTATTATCTAAATAACTGCGTCATTTTGTAATGGAAACCTTTAATGGGCACAAAGGTAATACAAGTATTCAATAACATTTCGTATTTTCAAAACTCAATTTTTTAATTCTAAAGCACATATTTCAAGGCCAAACATCTTGTGGTTCGATGACATCACTTTGACACTCCCAAGGAGGAGGTCACATGTTCGAAACTCATCCAATCAAGGATATTGACATTTAACAATGAAGTATTGAACAGATACTATAAAGAGAGACTACAAGTCTAACAAAAAAAGCGCGCATATTTCAAGAGTGTAATAGTGGAAGCAATTGGTAAATAAATAATGAGCTATGCTACGGGGTACACATTTTGATGTACATCTTTCGTATACTCGTCTCATCGTCTGTCTTGCACATTAACAATTGTATGTTAATTATTGTAAAGTTTTTCTCCACAGCCGACGGCTCGCAATCTAGATGAGCAATTACTATTATTTTATACCCATATCTTAATAATAAATGCGTGGAGAAATTAAAGATCCATCTACTATTCCACCAAGATCAAGTACACGAAGTTCTTATTAATGTATGACCGTATGAATTGAATGACAACTGCCAAACTGAAATACGGAGTATGTACTTCTTGCTTATACTCCGTATTATACTTCGTGAACACTCATATTTTGAAATTTTACATTTTTTTTACTTTATTAACATGAGCAATTTCTTATAATTATTGTCATTATGAATGCATTAGTGCACTCTCTTGTTCATTATTGTTAAGCTCAAATAAAAGAATCTTGATAATATTATTGGTTAATAAGTTCAAATCAATCTGAAACTTATGGTTAATTTAAGAAGAAATAGGAGTTATAAAGGGAAGTAATTAAATAAAATGAGGATCGAAGAGATGGAGTCGTTTTGAGCAAAGTTTTGAATCAAATGATGATCGAATTAAAGTAGCCAAAGTACTAAAACAATATATATTGGGATAAATACCCATGTATGAGTAAAACTCATCACAATTCCCAAAGTATGACTAAATATGTTTTTTTACCACCATATGACATTATGACTATAGAAGATTTTAATACATGACATCCTTATAAATGAAGAGTATTTGATGACCAAATTGACCTTAAAAACAAACTCATGTAGAGGGTATGCAACTTCCGAACTTGGTAAATTTGGAATGAACATAAATAATACACGGCAGTTAGGATAATTATAGTACCATATTTGGAAAACAAACCTGCAAGTCATATTTTGATAAAAGTTCTAACTTTTAGTCACATGTGAGATAAATTTCTCATATATATTTCAGTAATTAGATTTTAATTAATTTAATGAATATATATGACATATGGATGAAAGAAAAGTAAATATTATGAAAAAAAAAAAGCAGAGCTAGCTTAGCTTATTACATACTTATGATGAAGAAGGAAGCATTCCAGACACCAGTTGAAGCTCTGAGAGGAACTTCACCTCTGTGATCCACTGAGGAATCATAAACCCTCTTCTGGGTTTCTTCTCCATCTCCTTCTTCCCCATTCATCTCTCCCCTTTTCATACTTTAGTCTTTGCTAAATTAAAGTCGGTCTTTAATTTAATTTGCTTCCACCCGGCCAGTCATTATTGTATAATAACTTCAGCTTCTCATCACTCGATAAAAAGCAGAGATATTAATACTACGAGATTTGTGTGTTATTGCCACCAAACTAAAGCTTCTAGTTGTGGTTGATCACGCAAAGACTCTCGGCCTCTACGCAAGCCCAATTTATGTACAGTATTTGATCATGTAATTTAAATTAAAAGATGGGCGAATTTGACTTTGCACCATATTTTGTAAAAGTTTTGATTTTGCACCCCATCATATAACATTTTGTGGATACAAATTTCTGATTATCTGAATGTGGTGCAAACTCAAAGGATTATCAAGTGAAATGAGGTGCAAATTTAAAGTTTTTTTAAAACGGCGTGCAAAGTCCAATATCACCTAAAAGGTGGGGTGTAAAGTCAAATTATCCCTTTAAACATTTGCATCTCTATTTTTAATACGTAGTATAAACATAAATTCCCCTAGCCTTTAGTTTTTCTTTCTTTTAACATTTTTTATAGGAGAAATCTCTAGGAGAAAAACGTTTTGGAATTTTAAAACAAGAGTTTCATGCACGTGGTATGCTTTTATTCTCTAAATATGAGTAATTAAAAAGTTATTACTTGGACTTAGTACAAACCAGACTTCAACAGACCACATTAGATCTCGATTGTTGTAAATTACATAGAGAGTAGACATTCACCAGATCTAATCAGACCAAACCATCCAAAAGAAATTCAGTCCAATTACAAACATCCCTAACAAGTTAGTGCTAAGCTTGACAAATACTAACACGCGTAAAATGTGATTATGTCAAAAAATGATAGTTTTTTTTATCGTCAAAAAATGATAGTTATTACTTCTATTTAGTGTATGAAATCATTGTAGTTCTATTTCCAAATTGAAAAACCAATTTCCTCCTATTTAAAACAATTTCTAGTTTTTATATTTTTGATTGTCTAAACAATAATGGTCGGTTTTTACAATATACTCCGTATCAATTTTGTGTAGTTTATTCTACGTATTAGTTTTTCATTTTGCAGAAATCTTATCCATGAAATTTCCATTTTGTACCCCGCGCGTGTAGAAAACATAATTGGCAAAAAAAGTTAAAAAGTATGATTGGAGGAAGTAACTTAAGTCAATGCATGCTACGTAGCATAGTATACTATGCTAGTAAATCATGAACTATGTGCCTGTTCTATCCACCCTACGTTTTCACCTAACATTTGTGAATGTATTTTAGATAACATTATTTATTAGTGTTTTAAATGCATTAAGAAATTATAGTAGGGGTGTTTCTTGGTTTTGGATGGTTTCAATTTTTAATCGGTGGGTCTTAGAGACTTTTAGAATAGATGAAAATGAGAATCTCACTGGAAAAATTGAGACAATTTCAATCAATTTGTATCGTTTTCGATCGATTTTAGTTGTTTTGCCTCATTTTGTTAATCTATTTTTTGTTTGACTGGTTTTGAAGCAAAAAATATGAACCATATATTGAATAACCAATGAATTAGTCAATTTCGATTGGTTTCGATTTTATCGGTTCAGTTTTGGTTGATTTCGGTTTTAGTCGATTGATTTTGGTTTTCGATGTTTTTGTTCACCCCTTTGTACTAGTACTAATGTTTAATAGACGATTTTTTGTCACATTGTAATTTCTTAAATTCTTAATCCATTAGACACTCTATATTAACATTCAATCTGCAGTCCATCGTCTACGGGTATGAACCCTGAAGTCGACAGTGATGAAGTCACTCTTGTTCCAAAGTGTTCACATGAACACTCAAATTTTCAAAAATTATGTAGGTATATATGTGCATATTTAGTACTCTGTACGGTTAAGATTTGTTGTTTCATCCCTAAAGATCAACCTAATAGGAGGACTAATTCAAAGCCTTATATAGTGTTTTATAGTTTTTCAGTGTGGGATAAATTTTCAACATGCCCCCTCAAACCGAAACTGACTATATGGGGGTATATAAGTGAGTCAAACACTTGAATTCAATTCTAAAAAGTTACCCTTTTAATCATGGGTGCTAAACAAACAATTAAACCACAATTGGATTTGGCTCTGTGACCATCATAACACTTGAATTCAATTCTAAAAGGTCAATATGATTGGAGAAGTAACTTAAAACCTTATATAATGTTATTATTCTACAATTTTTCAGTGCGGGACAATTACTTTACCGATATAACTATTTATCCATCTTTAAGATTCTAATGGTAAAAAACATTGAATACTCAAAATTTAAATCCCATGTCTGTCACTACGTGAAGGGTAAATAATCATGGACATCGATATCACAATTCATTTCTCGAATCTTATTAATTACTCCGTATAACCTCATAACTCAAAATGTGTGAGATTACAATCAGGAATAGAAATAGACAATAGACTCAGAGACAATACTATTATCTCTCTTCCAATAACATTGGGATAAAATGATGTGACATAATTATTAAGAAAAGTAAACTTAATTATGTGTTTGATATTAAATTGTAAATAAAAATAAAGTAAGTATGATTTAGAGCTACACAAATTTTACCAAATTTGATATGAAACAATCGTGGGATTTCCCGAAAAATGTAAAATGAGACCATTTTAACGGGACGAATGGAGTATATGAGAGTGATGATAACTCTAAGAGTATACTTATTTTAATATGGTCTTGTTTGGCAATTAGATGTTAGTTGTTACATGTTAGTTAATTGTAATAGCGGTTTGGCAATAATTGATTGTATTAACTATTCTGATTGACATGTTAGGTTAGCTTGTTAATAACTGTTTGGAAAATTAAAATAACTGTTTAAGAAAAACTTTTAGAGTGTACAAGGACATTAGTATATTTTTGTTATTTCTTGGCATTGAATATATAACAACAACCAAAGAATTCAGAGAAGCCAAGGTTTTTAAAACGGGGAACTGATGGATGTTTTACATGGAGGAATGATGATCGGTCATCTGCCATTTTTTTATTGTTTGACCAATACAAAGTCAAGGCGGTGATATCACACAGATTTGAGATATAAAATAGAACTAGAGATATAAAGAGCAGACCTAAAGAGCTAAAGATCAAATCAGCTTAACAAATAAAAAATCGAATGCTTCTATATTAGGCTGAGATATTAAAGCAAGAAAAGGAGAATTGGTCAAGAACAATCAAACAAGGATCCTGTATTCGAACTATTAGTTCCTTCTATGATTATTTTTTCTTATTTCAACAAATGAGCACTCAGAAGTTTTCCAATCAAATACCCCACTGCTTTTAATTTCCCCCAATTTTGAATCTTATTTCTACATAAATACAAACAAACAAAGAAAAATAGAAAAGATAAATAGAGGAAGCAGAGGTTGGAGGAAACAAAGTAACGAACATATGCGTGAAATAGGAAGGACAGAAACGAAAGAATGTGGAGCAGCCAAACCCAAACGCTGCACCCTTTAGCGTTTTTATTTTTGGTCGTTTGAGTTCAATAAGCTAAGTCAACTGGTCATTTACCAAACAATAGTTTTGGCTGTTCAAGCATTTGCCAAACAAACCGTATATGCTCGAAAAAGTTGTCATTTAAAAAAGGGTTATTTATTTCTTAAATTGTAAATGAAAATCTTGATATGAGACATCTAGAAGAGATAAGTGAAGATCTTGATAGAGAAACAACTAAGGAGTATTTAGGGGGTGTTTGGAACGGATTTTGATTCTACTTCTTTTTTTAAATAGAAGCAGAATCAGAATCAGTTTCCAGAAATTGGTCTCCCCCAGCTTCTAAAAAACGGATTCTAGGAGTAAATTAGAGCACCAGAATCACTTCTGAACTTTCACTCAAACACTCCAACTTTTGCTTCTGCTCCTTCAAGGAGCAGAAGCAGTTTTAAGAATCAAATCCAAACACCCCTTAATTGCAAAAGAACTACGGAGTATTTGAATTTTGTTAACATGTTTTATACTTGTCCCTACTACGTTTAACGTATAGAAGACCAGAGGTAAACAACATTTAGGGTACGTGATCTTAAATACGTAGTACCGAAGTACGGAGTATTAAATATGAACCTTATTGCAGGACAAGATGTGTAATAAAAATATTAGTATCATTAATCACTACAAAAAAAAATTGGAATTGACAGAAATTTTTGGCAGAAATTTCCCAAAATTGATAGGAATTTCGGCAAGGATATGCCAAATTTGTACAAAAAACAGTTTGACACGAGCTAGTTGACACGAAATTTTCGGTAAATCACTGTCAAATTCTTTCAATCCCGTAATTTTTTTGTAGTGAATGTTATTCTTACTTATAATAGTAAGAGAACGTTAATAAAATGACGTATGCAGTATGTTGTAGGCACATAAAGGGGTCTATTGTCTATAGCTACAAAGTAAGTTGTTCGTAGTATCATGGTGGGAGATTTTGCACGGTACAATCTTTCATGACCTTATTAACGACGGGACGACTATATAACCATATCGTTATCCTGCACTTTCTTTCCACCACTAATTATTATTGTATGTTTCTTCATTGGTAATTATGACTAAGATGAGTAATTACAGCACATTAAAGTAAAGCTCGAGGTAGTTCTCCCAATATGCTGCTCTACGTTTACTCTTCCTAACTAAGTATTTGCGGCCTTCCACAAGTTTCTTTTCAGGGGGCAACACTTTGCGTAACTCTTCAATATCAGTTCTACTAGCTGCATCACTGAGCGTAGAAGCACTTTGTTCTGAAGAATACACTGCCGGCCTTTTTGATTTGGAACTATCCATCTGACAGAATTAATAAAAAGAAACAATTATTAATATTCACTTATTAATAAGAATTCATTTTATTTATATGTCAATTTGATTGCTTTAGACTTTATGAACTTATTGATACTTTCAAATGGGTTTGACAGTCCATAATCCATGTACAATATTTAGCAGGTAGAGTACAATTTTAATAAGAATTCTACCTATTGTTTCACACTCTACATGATTAAAACATAAGTAATTGCTCATATAAGTAATTACCAGGTAGAGTAATTGAGTGAATATAAGCATTTCACATGAATGTTTTAAAATAGCAGTTTACTTTAAAAAAATTAAAGTTCAATCGGGAAAAGTTGAAACTAGTTTATGGGAAATAAGGTCATCTGCTAATATTCTTAAGTTATGCATAAATTAGGCTACAGCAAAACCCTAACCCCAAATTAATCCT